AACAAAAAAAAATTGAATTTTTTCAAATTTAGTTTTTTATTTGATTTTTTTTTTAATTTTATTTGGGATTTGAATTAAGAATTTTCTTTTCACATAAAATATTTTAGAATTCAAACATTAAATAATATTTTATTACAAATCTTTAAATAATTTTACGATAATAAGGAAATTGTTTATATAATTTTTGACAAATATTTTTTTTTTGCAAAATAATTATTATTTAAACAATATAATATAATATAACAATAAAATTAAATAATAAGAATTATTGTATAATAAAATAGAATAATTTGAAACTAAATTCATTTTATTAATTTAATTTATAATTAATTTAATAAAATGAGTAGGTATTTAATAAAAACAGAAGTAGGGTATGCAATTTGAAAATTTGTTTATAATTTTAAAGATATTTTAAAGTATTAATTTATATAATAAAATATAAATTATATTTAAGAAAATATTATACAAATTACACAGTCTTATCATGAATTTCGTTCGTAGTCTTGAAAATGTTAAATTTTTAATGTCGAATTACTAACATTGTGATCCGAATATTCGTAAAAGAGAAAATTCGTAAATTACGTTCGTAGTAAAAATTAATGTTAAAAAAATGTACGTAACTGAGCTCGTAATTCATAGGCGTCTACGAGTGGGATTCATGATAGGGCTGATAATTTTAGTTTAGATTGAAATGCATTTAGAGCTTATATACTGTAAAATTTTCAACAATAATAATTTATATTATTTAAAATTAAAAACTATACAAAAATTACAATAAGAAATAATAAAATTAAATGCTTTTCAATTTATTTTAAATTCCAAAATCTTTGGAATGGTTATTGAATAATATTCTTTTATCTTCATTATGTAAATTTAATAAATATGTATATATAATATAGGAATTTAAAATTGTTTAATATTTAATAGAAATAATAATTATTTTCAAATAATTAATTAATTGTCAATTATATTGAAATAATTCAAGTATATATAATTGTAAAATATAATTGACTTATCAACGATTATTATATTATAATATTTACACAGTACATATAAGTTAAAATATGTAAGTTTAAAATATAATTTTAAATATTTGTCAAAAATTTTGTTTTTTAAAAATTATTTGCAAATATTTTATTGACAATTATAACTGTGAATAATAATAATATATAAAGAAGAATAATATTATAATTGAGCCTACTGAATAAAAAATAGTAAATACTTTTACTAGGGGAATATTAATTAAATACTTAAAAATAAATTAATTACTTAATAAGTTAAGACTTAATATTAAGCTTTTACTTTATCGGTATACAGTACAAAATACTAATTTTAAAAAAATTTTTTGATTATTTTTTTGAAATGATGTGATATTTGTAGTAAAAACTTAAAATTTTGAGGGCTTGATATGCAGCAAATACGTGAATCTAAGTATTATCGAAGAAGAAGAAGAAATTTTAGTCCCGATAAATTGAAAAATCTATGAGTTGAGCGTCTACTAATATCGATGTTTTATGGAATGAATTTTTAACGAATCCAGAAGAGGATCACTTACACAGATAAAAATTAAATGGAAATATTTTTACTTATGATATGTTTGCAAAGCCAAATACAGTAACCTAAATATTCTATCTATCATAATTCCTAAAAAACATTTTAATTCTGTTGCACATCACATTCAAAATCATGTATTTTTAGTAAATTTCCATTATTTTTCAAACATAAGGTAAATACTTTGTAGTATTTTCCAAAAATTTCCAGAAATTTCTTAGTAGTAAAAATAAATTTAATTACTTATTTAAATGAAATTATTATACTTTTGCTAGGGAGGCAATATTTCTTCATTTACTTTTTACTTTTAAGTATTTACTATTTTTTATTCAATATACCCATTGCATGACTAAAATATTTTTATTATGAATTTAAGAAAAACATGTATATAGTTAATTAATTATTCAAAAAGTAATTTCAAAAATTATAATTAATTTTTTTTTAAAATGAAAATTTTAAAATCATAAAAATCAAAAATTTTATTTAAATATAATTGCATTTTGCATTTAATATTAAAATTTAATGAATTCCAAATTTTCTTTGTTCTACATTATATACAATTTTCCTTTATAATTAATTAAAAATAATTAAGAATGAAAAAAAAAACGAAATTAAAAATTAAATTAAAATAATTATGCTTAATTTTTAATAAGGCAACATTTTCAATTTATTTTTTTTTATGTGTTTTTTTTTTATTTTTAAACTTTTTAATAATAATAATATTAAATTTTATTTTTTTTTTCTTTTTTATAATTGTAAAATTTAAAATTTTTATTTTTTTATAACTATAATTAAGAAGATATTTTTTAAAAAAAAAATTTTTATAATAATTAAAATTTTTATTCCAATGAGATATCAAATTTTATTTAATTAGTTTATTTTTTTTTTATTCATATAAAATTAAAATCAATTTAATTTTATTTATTTGGCTCAACATGATTTATTATTTTATTTTTTTAATCTAATCTTCTATTAAATATAAAGTTAAATATTTAATAATAATGCTAAAAATTAAAACAGATTTCACGCTACAATAAATTTAAATATATTGATTTGTTTTTTTTTTATTTTTTAAATTTAGAGAATTTAAAACATTAAGTTAAGATGAAAATTAAAAATGAAAACAAGAAAAAAGTTATTATAAAATGTATTTGATAATTTTAAATTTTTTAATAAGTAAGCAATTTTTGGGCAAAAAAAAAACTTAACACTTAAAATTTTGGATAAAATCCTAATATTTATTATGAAGTAGAAAATATTTTCGAAATTTGAATTGCTATGCTATTAATTAATTAATTACCGAAAAATAATTGAGGACGTGTCTTGCTAATTTACTCGCCAAATGAGAAGAAAGTGAATGACTACATGTATTTGTATAATGTATAATTTTGGAATGAGAAGAATTTTTCCGTCTTGTGAATTTCGTTTTTTTCTAAAACCTATTTTTACTAAATTTAGTCATTATTTATATTCACTTTGTTTTTGAGGGTGATATACGATAATCTGAAAAAAGATGTTAAAATCTAATTGAAAAACTGAGTAATCTTATTGGCAAAATGATAATATTCATTAGAAAAAAGGAAAATTCTGATTTGAAAGTGAATAAAGAGTGAGATAAAAAGGCGAGATACATAATTAGGCCGCTAATTTTTAACAAAATAATTTATTATAATATTGATGAAATGCACGCATATAAGAATCACATATTATGCCTAATATATTGCATAATAATATTTAAATTTTTGTTTCAAAATGGCCATCACTCTTAATTTTAATATTAATATTAATATTCTAATAATTAATTTTCCAATAAGATTTAAATTTTAGAATAAATATGAGTTTAATAAACAAATATTCATCGTTTAGCGCAATCTAGACAAATAATATCATGTGACTGTTAAAATTTGTTCAGAGATAGGATCATTTCGAATTTAGGCGTAGGCACTATACATAAATTTATTAAATTATAATTAATTTATATATTAGAGTAAAATATTTTGCTAGTTCATCGCTTTTTCTATAGAATTAAAAAATTTAAAATTATTAATTACATTGTGTTCCATACTTTATTTTTGTTTTACATTTTTATTTTTTTTTTTTTTGCATAATAAAATATAAAAGTTGCTTCAAATTTAATTCTTTCTACTTTATTATACTATAATTAATAATTATTACATTAATTACATTTTCTATGAAAAAGTAATTATATAATTTTTTGCAAAAATAAAAATAATTTATAATTTCTTTTTTTTATTAATTTTAGGACATTTTTTTAATTTTTTATACAATATAATATACAAAAACAAAATATGTATAATAAAATTTTCAATATATAATAATGTTTTAGTAAATATTCGAAAATAGTGAACAAAAAAAATAAAAAAATTTCGAACAATTATAAGGTTGCCGTCAACATCGAATTTATTATTTTGTTAATTAATAATAAAATTTATATTTTATTTTGGTTTAAAGTAAATATTTAAATTAAATTTAAATAAAATTATTTATAATTTAGATTTATTTTAACATTGAAATTTCAAATTTTAAAAAATTATGAATGTTTGCAAAATAATTTTTCGAAATTCGAACTGTTCATATGTTATGATTGAAATATTTTATGATTTTATGAGCACAAACACAGTTTCTTAAATAAGTTAAAAGAATATTAAATAAGAACTTCTGTAAGAACATTAATTTAATTTAATGTTTTCGATTTTCTTTATTGGAATAAATTTTAAATTAAAATGAATTTATTATATTAATTATTTTATAATATTTGATTGAATACTTTATGCTTGAATAATTTAAAAGTAAAGATTATTCAAATATTAATGATGATTAATTAGAATTTTATAATTAAATTTAATATTTTGTGATTGCTGTTTTTTTTTTCAATCAATCAAATAAATCAATCATAATAAATTAATTTTAGATTAATTATTTTATGGTAATTTTCAAAAAAATGTCAAATAAATCTAATTAAAAGGGTTGTTTCGTATTATAACGTTTAGGATAATAACAAAAATTTTGACTAGAAATATAATTAACAATATATTAAAATAATAAAAAAACAAAATATTTTAATAAAAATAATTAATGATATTGATAATAAATTGACATTTAATTAAATTTAATTAAATTCACTTAATTTCGAATATTTACAAATTACAAATGTTTACTATATTTTTCTATTTCCTATATAATTTTTTTAATATTAATTTAAATTTTTTTGTTTTTTAGTATTTTTTTCTCTCAGTTTTAAATTTCTATATTATATTATATAAATTTTAGCTATATTTACAATAATCTATTTATAAATTTTTTATTTAGTATATTCATATAATAATTATATATAGTAGTGAATTAAATTTCTACATAATTTTCATTTATTTTTTTTTGTAATTCTATAGTAATATGAATTTTTTATATTTAAATATTTTTATTTATATAATTTAATTTAATTTAATTTTTTTTTAATTCTATATAATATAATTAGTTAGTTAATTCTGTTTTTTTCAATTTAAATATTTTATTACATATATATATATAATTGTTTATTTTAAATATTTCATATACATATTATAAATAATTATTTTAAATATTATACATGAGTAGCTAATGCTCCTTTCTTTAAATTACCATTTGATGGTAATATAAATTGACCTGGTGGTATAATTGTTGTTGCTGTTGTTGTTATTGCAGTTGTAGTTGTAGCTGCCGTTGTTAATGATGGTGATATATTTTGTTGTGTTTGCTGTTGTGTTTGTTGTTGTTGTTGTAATAATGTTGCTTGAGATGGTAATGTACTATTACTACCAATTATTAAATTATTACTACTAAGACTACCTAATGGATTTAGACTATTTGTTAAACTATAATTACTAAGATGAGATGATGTATGCTGATGATGATGCTGTTGTTGTTGATGATGTTTTGATGGATATGGTGGGGGGGCTGGTGTTGCAGCCGGATTCGCTGTATTCGGTGGTGGTAATGATGAATTTGATGTTCTTAAATATGGATTACCATATGTTGCACTGTAACGTGGATCTATACTCAAACCATTTTGTAATAATGATTGACCTTAAAATTATATTTAAAAAGTAAGAAATGTAAATGTAATTAAAAAAAAACATATTTACCTAAGAGACCATTTTGCATTGAACTTATACTACTTTGAACACTAGGCAGTCCACTATCTTGGCGATTTCTTGTTAAACTCGATGTTATTTGGCTTTGATTAATACCATTAATATTTGAATTATTATTATTACTATTATTATGATTACTATTATTAATACTATTTAATGGAACTGCTTTAACAGTTGCCATACTGCTATTACTATTTGATGTAGTACTATATTTACTACGTGAAGAACTTAATGAAGTTAATGGTGGACTATAATTTAGTGCATAATCAACATATGGATCAAAACCGCTATTCTGTTGTCCTAGTTTTTGTTCATTCTGTTGTTGTTGCTGTGGAACTCCAGAATCAGTATAATCTCCAGAATATCTACAAAAAAAAAAAAATCAAAATTATTTTCATAATTCTTATAAAATAAAACATTAATAAATTTACCTAAAATCATTAGGAATTTTAACAGGACCAGCTAAAGGTACACCACCACCGCCGCCACCACCAGTACCAGTTATAACACCACCATTTGAGCCAGTATGATTTGCATTTACCATATTTGATGCTAATTTTGTTGTTAAACTATCTGAACATGTTTCTGAATATTCAGGTTCACATGAACCTGATCTAATATCAACTTTTAAATCACTTAAATTTGATGATCTATCACTTTCTTTAAAACCTTTCTCATTGGAATGATGATGATGATGATGTTCTGGTATAACATCAGCTGGTGGTAATTTCTTCTTACCTTTCTTTAAATATACCGTTATTATAACTACAATAATTAACATGAATGTTACAAATGATACAGCTCCAACAATAACTACTAAAAACGGAATGGTTTCTACAAAAAGATTAAAATTTTTTAGATAAAATTTAATGTATAAATTATAATAAGACTTACTATTCGCAATCAATTCAATTTCAATTTCATCGCTACCATATTCATTAATAACGGTACAATTATATTTACCAAAATGTTTTGGTTTTGTATCACGTATTACTAAAATTGATTTAATACCCTCTATCAATTGATCATCTAATATTGAATATTCTTGATTAGCACTAATATTTATTTCATGACCATGAAATGACCATAAAACATTTTTAGCTTTTGGCACACTAAATGCAACACATTCTAAATGTGCATTATCACCGGGTGTTGCAATTTGAGTACGTGATGATGTTATACGTGGTGGACGCTTTAAGAAAACACTAACTTCTGCATCAATTTCAGGAAATCCGATAACACTTGCCTTACAATAATAATGGCCAGAAGTATATTCAGTTACTTTTAATGTTAAATTTGGAGTTGAACCAACCTCCTAAAAATTATTAAATAAGATTATAATTTGTGTAGATTGAATTTTAATTTCTTTTTTATAATTTACCCTTTCTGAAGTACCATTAATCCATACAATATCAGCTGGTGGATTACCATCAACATCACATGATAAAGTAACAGTTGTTCCAAGATCAGCTTCAATAGATTTTGGTGGTCTTTTAAATTCTGGACCATCTATATTTTTTCATTGTTTAAAATAAAGAAAATAAAAATTTTTGAAATTTGACATTTGAAACATTCAACAGAAATATTCTGTGGTGAGTTCTACACTTACAACTAATATCAAGAGTTTCACTCTCCTCACTTTTCCCTACTACATTATAAACTTCACATTTTACAATTGCATCATGATATTTTCTGGACACATTATGAATAATCTGTTTTGTAAATATGAAATTTTTGGATTTTAATAAAATAATTTTATGAAAAATATAGAAAAATTTTACCATTTCTGTTGTATAGTCACCAATAACAGCTTCATCATTAATATACCATCGATAATTGACATCACTTGGATTTGCATCAGCATGACATGATAATCTAACTTCAGAACCTTCAGCTATTCGACCACCGGCTAAGGCTCCACTAACAACAGATACAGATACTTTTGGAGCATATTTGACCTGAAATTTAAATTGTAGAAGTTATGATTTGAATCACTATTAAAGCTTTGACACATTAAATGCCATAATTGTTTCAAATTGAACAATATCATTTAATTTTTAAAAAAATATTATCGGCCTCTTGGGATTTAAATTTTCAAATAAATTTTAATGAATTTTTAAATTAAATCAGATTTTACATACAATAACAATCGGGTAATTCAATTTCAAATATTAAATTAGAGATTTTATTAAAGCGTACGTATGTATGTAATTACATAATTTTTGAATAAATACATAAGTCTTAAATTTTAAAGTTCTAAAATGGTAAAACTAAGTTAAACGTAAATTTATGTGCACCAAAAATATGACCACATGAATTTTTTTATGAAAGAATAATTCATTGTCAATTCAAATTTCTAATTGTTGTTGTAAGCATATAGTACAGTTATTTACAACAAAGTTCTTTTTATACTCACAGAAGTTAGGATTTTCAGAGTATTTTAAATTTACCGATCCATTTATAACACTGAATTATATACTCAGCTACAACCATGTGGCTATATTCTTGACCAGTGCCGAATTCTGTGGTTAATAGATTATGAGTTTGTCACAACAATAAAGCAAAATAGAAGCGACTCAACAAATTTCGGGAAATTGTTTATAATAGAAATAATAAGCCAGAACCACCCAAAACGCTGTTATACATGAACTAATGTACTATAAAAGATGCCATACAACTTCTAATTTAAACATAAGAATATGTATGAGAACATTCCTTACTGATTACAAAGTCAGTCCTTAAAATAGAATAAATTGTTTATTGTCAATTAATTTCTGGAAATAATCAATTATTTCTGGTATCTGTTTTGTAAAAACCGATTAACGACACAAGCAACAAAAAGTGATAGGATCATATAATTTTAGTTATCTATTTTTGATTTGACCCCAGATCAGGCGCCATGAATAATATAATGAATATTCAACATCTTTTGGCATTCTAATATTCTAATGTGCTATTCACCTAATTTTTTCTGTTTAATTATTTTTGGACTGTTGTCCATTTTGATGTTAATTTTTTGTTACCTTCATAACAACAATTTCTTTTTTTAACATTATTATTATATTTTTATATAATTTTCGATTATAATCTATGTTTTTTTAATTTTATTGTGATTTTCTATTCTGTTTTCTTGTTTTAATAGTTTTGCATATATTTAGGTGGTAATTTTATAAAAATTTCAATATATAAACTAAATATAATAATTTTTTCTCTAGGGTCTTTTTTTTTTTTGTTCAGATTTCTAATTATTTTCTAATACCATTATTATAATAATTATAATATTATATAACAGTTGTTTTTGTTTTGTTTTTATGTTTAGTATGACAAAAACATTGAAAAATTTAACAATAATGGCATGCACGTATATTGTGTACATTTACACGTATTATGGGAAAATATTATATGCAAAAAAAAAAATAATGACAACAAAATTTAATTGAAAATCTATAAAATAATTTTAATCTCGATTAGAAAATATTTTCTATCAAAAATATTTAAATGAATACAAAAAAAAATATTTCGTATATACGCTCGCATATTGTATGGTATGCAGGTTTTTGTTCCGAAAAATCCCTATCCTATCCAAACTATTATATCATGGTTAACATGGTATAACTATTCAGAACATTTAATCAGTTATATATTGTACCAAAACATATACATACATAGGTACATATAATTTGATTTAACAGATTATAAATAAAGAGCGTCTCCCACTCATACCGACCATGACCTTTTTTCAAATTAAGAACAAACAACTATTTGCTAAATTATTATTTATTATCTTTTTAAAAAATAATAATTTTTCTAAAGAAAACAAAGGCAGAATCGAAGTCAGAAATATGGGCATAAATATAGACAACGAAAAAATAAAAAAAAACAAAAAAAATTTACTAAATACCTACGTACACATATACAAATTTCGATTCTCATGAATAAATTATACTGTCGTATTAATCAGAAACTACTTAGTAAAAATTTTCATATATGTAAATATAGAATAATTATAACAAAACAATAGCTCATATTTTGGCATATGTACATATTTACATAATATATATATAAATACATAAGTATTAGCTTATAAATATGTTTGTTTAATGTACATAAATTAAGTTTTATGTTAGTGTTACCAGATATCTAAAAATATGTTATTAAAACAAAATATGCACTCAAAATAAACTATTAGCGAAGAAATTATAAATATTAGGACTCCATTTTGTTTCTTCGACCCAAGATCGTGCGTCAACATTTAATATTAATTTGAACTAAATCAAAATAAATTAACAACACTAAGCTACATTGAAATTTTCACGCCATCTATATAAAAATTTTTTAAACTAAATTTGAAGGGGCGTTTTTAATAACACCAAGTTTTAGTTTACATTTTCGTAAAGCAGGGTTTTGTCAAAAATTTTAATCGCGATTCAAATAAGAATTTATAAACGAACTCATCTTTATATTTTGGCACAGTTTTAATATTTACAAAATTAGCCTATAAATTAGCCTCAGTAATTTGTGATATATTTTAATAATTCTAGTATAAAATTGTAATTTATGTTAAAATTAATTAGACTAAATGATAATTGTTATCTACTTTAATTACACATTCGGAAAATTATAGCTCTATTCTACAAAACTGTTATATTTCAGACGAATCTACTTATAGTGACATAAAATTACAATAATTTGTATAAAGTATTCAAGCTACATAAAAGGTGTTTTCCATCCAATGAATATATTGCAATTATTTACAATGAAAATATCCTTTATTTTATTTAGTAAAAATGTACAAATAAATAAAAAAAAATTAATGATTCTTTGTTGATTTTAATGCAACTATCATTTCAGTGTGGCACAATGTACATTTTATACAACAATGTACATATATTAACAATGCACGTGTATGTTTCTCGACAAAAATCAATTGTCAATTGAAAATAAAAATAAAAATTTTGAAAAAAAAAGCAAAAGAACGGAAAAATATGAATTTGTTCAATATTAATAATGGAAATTTCATAAAATAATATTAGCAATGTAACTAAAAATAGCGAAAAATACTATTATAAAATATCAAGGACATTATTTTCAATGAAAATATTAACAATCATTAAGAATAATAAAAAAGAAAAAAATAAAATAAATTTTGTTACTAATATATGATAGGTTCGTTTTTCAAAATGAATTTTATAAATTTTATCAGTGATTTTCAATAACTTCTAATCGCTTCAAAATTCAAGTATACAGATTGCGACTAACGGTTGATGTCCTAGATAGTTATTGTACGATACTCTAGGTGCAATAAATATCTGGGACATCAACTAATTGTAGAATTGAGCTGTGCTTGAGAGAAATTGTCCGAACGAAACACAAAAACTAAAGCATATATATAATTATCTCAAACCCTAGGGCAACTTTATTAGTCCATCGTGTTAATACAATGGATTCTGAGCTAGTATGGAATTGCCTTGCGGTTCTGCATCAATAGGCAGCTCCAAATAGAATTACGCTCATTTGGGTACCAGGTAATAAAATGAGTTCGTTTTTGTTCTAGGAACAGACGTTTCTAAGATAAAATTGGTTAAGTCTTCAAAATCTTGTCGATTGTTTTAATCGGAATGGAACAAGCACCGGTTGAATGCAGCAGGAATTCGTATAAGTAATAAAGGGATACGTATACGACGGGGAATGGATGGTGCATAAAACGAAATGGCGTTTTTTACATCTTATGTACTTCCACAGTGATAGCTGGCAGGGGGCTTCTGATTCATGTTTGTGATCATCTACATACCCCTGATATTGTGTTCAACTCATTGTATAGTATGTACTATCTAAAGTTTTTACAATTGATCAGGGTTAGAATTTGAGTTATAGATAGGACATGTGGAGATATTAAATCTACAATATTTGACGACAATATTTGAAAAGCTCTGTGTTACAGTATTATTGTATTACATAATACATTCGTCCTTAATAATATTGTCCTTAAATTTTAATAACATTTTAATTACATCATTAAAAAAAGATAAAAAAGAGAAATTAAAATACCTTTATATTAGCAAAATATATAAAAAAAAAGAAATTATTTTAATGTTCAACCTTAATTTTTTTTTTACATTTTATTAAAAAAACACAATATTATAGTGGTTCCATAAAGTCCAATTGGTAGGTGATGAAATAGGCAGTAAACATGCAAGACAATGAAACAAACATAATAAAAATAGATATTTAAAAGAAGAGGAAAGCGAATCTTCTCTAAGACCTGCTACGACTTCCTAACTTAATTTTTTTTTAATCTAACTAAGATTTTTATGCTCTTGGTTTAAATTCCAATTCGGACCCGAAAATAAAAATAATTTTGCAAAATTCAGATACGATAAGAAATTTTATTATTTGGCGAAAAAATTCAATGTCGTCGGTATTTTTCGTAAAATACAGATTTGAATAGACCTTCCAATCGACTCAATTTAAAATTAAAAGAAAATTTATAGCATTGCTTTATAACTTCTCCATATTATGACTCTCCATACAGTGAATTGCTCTTTATTAGACATTGGAATGTTTTCGCCCAAATTTTCGCTAAATTACACGTCACAAAATTAAATAATGTAATTGAGTATTTTCATAGTTGCTCAGTATGCCTTATTTAATTCTGATTCAAGCAACAATGTGTCTTTAACTAATACTTTATCGAAGAGTTGATCTTAAGAGCTAAAAAAATTTTGAACGAATTTATATTTCAAGAATCAAAAAAAGTCGGACAAATCGAAATCTTTCCGGCAGTATTGCAACTCAATTTTAATTTTTTATTTTTAAAAAATTTAATTATAAAATTCTCATTTATTTTTAAATTAAATTTAAATTTCATAATTTATAATTATTAAAGTATTGTTCTACTGTTTCATTAAAAACTTATTAAAATATTTAAATTTTACCTTTTAATAATAATTTTGTATAATAAATAATTAAATTTACTTTAATAATGTAATATTGAATATTATATGTATATACTGACCTCTAATAATAATTTTGCTGAACGATATGTTCTATCGGCAGTATTCTGTGCCTGACAAGTAAATGTTGTATTATGATGCTCTTTTTTCGGTGTTAATTTTAATATTGATTTTGCGGTAAAACGTCTTGAATCCGGAAGTGGTTCCTTAATATATTCAATTCCATTTTTAAGGACATTTCCGGCACCATCAATCCATGTTATCTATATATCATGTACAAAACATACAATAATATTTATTTATATATATTATAATTTTTTGTTTTTTCATATAAAATATTAAATAAATTATTTATGTTAACATGCAAACTTCATTTATAAAATAGAATGTATATATACTTGTATATATAGTGTATGTATATATATATTTATAAACTTAATATAAAATTCTTTGGATATATGTATACGAATATATATATATATATTTTAATATTGTATATGAATGAAAATTAAAATAAAAGTTAAATAAATAAAATATTAGGTAATCGTTTCATTTTATATACAGTAAAAGTTTAGAAAATTTTTTACATGATTGTGTATGTCTTTATGCATATATACTAGGATATATATATACGCACATGTATATAATAAGGAAGCAAGTATATTATTAATTTTTTGACCATTTAATATTTTATGTTTATTAAATTCATCACTTTCAATAAAAATCATGAATATATATGCATATATGCTTAGTATATATGTATATATCATGTATATATCATGCATATATATAATATATATGTATGTATAAATATTGTGAGAATATTATAAATGGAATCCTGTGAAGTTGATCAGGATTTTCTTTTTTTTTTCCTGTTTATTGTATAATTTTATATTTAATGGAAAAATATTTTAATCTTTTATATATTTCGGAACTTTTTATAATTTTTTGTTTTTTCATTAGTTTTGTTAATAAATTAAGTGAGACAAGAATATATAGGTATATATATATATATAATGTTATATAATATTTAAAATTATTAAAATGAACAAAAATTAGAGATTTTATGTGATAAAAGTTTTTCGGATATGTTCTTTGAAATTATTAAATTTTATTTGAAAATATTATACAATTATTTTTATTTGAATTTTTTAATTTATTTAATTTTATTTTTTAAATATAATTATACATGAAATTTATTTTCTATTATGTATATAATAATTATTTTTTAATTATTAAATTATTATTGTTATACAATTGTTTTGTATTCAAAACTCGTAGAGGAATTTCAATAATGTTCTGTAATATGAAAAATATTGCATATAATTAGGCTTCATAAATAAATTTTCTTATTATATTAAAGAATTTTCATTGCAATTAGCTAGGCTTGGAGGAAAACAATTTGTAATTTTTAAATTGTTGATGAAAATTTAGAATAGATTCAAAATTAAAGTGAGCTGATTATTTTAAAAATTTAAGCTGGCTAAATTTTTAATTGGTAATCATTACGGTGTAGTTATAACACAAGTATATTATATGTAAATGAAGAACACAAATATCCAAAGGGTTGAATTGAGAATAACTACAAATAGTCCGATTCTTTACGGAAGGAACTGACTGAATTTTTTATTTCATTTTAAATGGAAGAGCTACAAGTGGTCCGATTCCTTACGAGATGAACTGTTTGAATTTTTTTATTTCACTTTAAATTAAATTTACACAATCAAATTTGAATAAAATTTTAAAATTTTTTTAGTTGTGGTGGTTTTGCCTTTTCCTTTACCTTAAATTATCTTTAAAATTTTCCATAGATTCTATTTAAAGCCTGTACACTGAACATAAATTCAATGACAAATTGCATATTTTATTATATACCTTTATTATTGATCCTCATAAACTTTATTATTCTTTAAATTCTCCTATTATAATCATTTTTTCGTCAGTCAATTTTCAATACAACAAATATTGACATTTTTATTTTTATTTCTTTAAATAAATTTATTGACTTGGTTAGTTGAACTTTTTAAATTTAATATTTTATTTTTAAATATAAAAAAAATTTCCAATAATATCTGAACTATTGCATATAATATAATATAAATAATTGAATTAATAGAAAATATTTATAAAAATTCTTCGAATGCATTATTAAAATATTAAAATTTCATTTATAGAAAATATTTTTTTTTTATATTTTTCTAATGGCTTTCATCCTTTGCATTTTATTATCGCGTATTTTTTTATTAAGGCCAACATCAGAGTTCAAAATTTCATTTTAAAAATACAATCTTAAATTTTGAAAATTTTTCCGAAAACATGTTACCGTAGCAAGAAGAAATAATAAAAACGAAAATGTTAAATGAAAAAATAATTTTGTGAAAACTGAGGTACAATATAATTGAATATTATTCTGTTTTCAATGTCCTTAAACAAAAAATGAAAAAAAAATGGAATGATAAAAACAAAAACATCACGAAGAAGAAGAAGAAGAAGATTCTTAAAAAAAATTTTTATTATTAAAAAAGAATTTCAATAATAATATGAAAAGTGTCTAACAAACAAAATAAAGAAAAAACAGACAAAAAAAAAATTTAATATTATTATTACCTCAGCAGCTGGCTTTCCACCAACTGATATACATTCCAATTCAATTTCACGATCTTCTGTTGTTATTAAAAAATCACCTTGAACTATTTTTGGTGCTTCCGGTGGCACCAATACAATTAATTTTGCAAAACGTGAACGTATACCAGGTTGTCCTTTTGGTCCTGGTCCAACTTGACATTGATAACGTGCATCATCTTCTAACATTACTGGATAAATGTCTAATGAAAAATCACCTGAAAATAAAAATAAAAATTTTATTGCACATTTTGTCAAATGTTGAGCTCTAAAAATTATTATTATTATTATTTTATTATAAGGTATATTGAATTTGTTATTAGATTTCTAATAATATAGCGTTAAATGGAATTTTTAATTAAATTTTATTTTCAAGAATTTCGGTAGAAGAATAGGTTTTAAAGGAAGTAGAAATGGTGATATTCTCTAAGCCTAGTCAATTTCTTTAGGCATCTAATTTTGGATATGATCATAATTTGTTTATTGAGCATATTGCTGAACCTTAATATTCTCAAATTATTTATGTTATTGAATTTGTTATGTTTACTTGCTCAACTTCAACAATTTTCGGTTTTAAGAGAAGCAACATGATTGAACTTCTGCCAAACATTTGTGATTGAAACATACAAATGTCATCTAACATTAATTGAATGAAATATGATGAGAATTTCAAATAAATATCAACAGGTGTCGCACATCTTATTATTAAAATTTAAAAGGGAAACTAATATCATTTTCCTAAAGAACTATAGCGTAAAATTGATTTAATTAAAAGGAAAGAAAAAAAAAAATAATAAATACTTTCTTAATTCAGCTCATAAGTTTTAATTATTATTCAGCAATATAATTCAGCATTATTATCATAATTCAGCTCATAAATTGTAATTGCTGAATTACACATTAATGGAGTTTAAATGGAATTGGGAAGGCAGAATACATAATTGCAGTACTCGAGACACTATTATTAGGATTTAAGATCTATATAAGAGTATTTAGCAATTCTGACATTCAAACATTTTGCATACGTTCAGTTAATCTTAAAGTTGTTCTTAGAAAATTTTTAAATTTTATTTTCATTTTGTAATTTTTTACTGTTATTGTTGTTGACGGGCGCTCTTTTTTCTCTGTTTTAATATTTTTTTTTTGTTTTGCCAAAATGAGACGAGCAAAAAAAATGTCTTCTTGTTTTTCATTTTTGTTTTTTTTTTTTTTGTTTTTTACAACTTTTGCCTTAAATTTTGTGGAAAATATAGGATAAATGGAATTTTCATTTCGCCTTTTCATAAAAATTTTTTGTGTTTTTTGTTTTATTTTCGTCGTTTTTCGGTCGTTTTGGTTTTTCTTTATTATTATTGTTTTTTTGTTTTTGTGCTCTTTTTGAAAAATGAGATTTTAAATTGATGTAAAATGATGAAGGTGATGTTTTTCATTTTTTTATTTTTTCTTTATTGTTTGTTGTTCATTTATGTTTTAATTTTTGTTTTCTTCTTTTTTTTTTTTGGTTAAAATTATATTGTCCTTGAAATTTTTATAGTTAATATACTTTTTATACAAGTACATGTATATCCCATAGTTGTAGCATAAGTATGTGTGTAAGTGTGTGTATAAACAGAGTGTATACGTGTGTGTAGTATATGAACTTATGGAGTAAAAAATTATTAAAAATAATGAAAGTTAAATTCACATACAAAATTTTTCTTTTGTTCTTCTGTTTTATAAATATATAATATATATATAGTCTCATACTCTTATTATATTGAATGACGTATAGGTATGGTAGGTATGATGGTAGCAATGTGCCATAAAAATTGAAAAGTTTTGTCGTTGATTTTTGTCTTGTTGCCTTGTCAAAAATGAATTTATGAAAATGTGAAATAATTTTTTTTTTTTTTGTTGAATGGAATGTTATATGATATGAAATTTTAATAGTTACTTTCTTTCTGTGTATGCATGTATAGATTAAGAAGGAAAAAATGATTTTTCCTATGAATGTATGTAGGTATGTGTGTATGTAAATAATAGAATAGAAATGTGTGTATATCATAAGAATTAATATGTAGAATAATTTTGGTATTTTGTTTCAGGCGCTCTTTTGAACTAATTTCGAGTCTTAAGAGAAAAAATGAAAATGAAAATGAAAACAATAAGAAAAATTAAAATAAAAATTTCAGTAATTTTTTTTTTTCTATATTTTTAGAAAATTTCTAAAGAAATAAATAAGAAAAATAAAAATAAGAGACAAAATACAAACAGTTGCCATTTTCTTCATAATTTTTTTTTTTTTTTGAATTTTTTCATTCATTTTTTTTCTCTGTGATTTCATTGTTATTAGTATTGTTGTTGTTATTATTATTGTCGTTTACGTTATTATTGCTGCTACTGTTACTGTTATTGTTGTTGTTGTTGTTGTTGTTGTTGAGGGATTACCAAGGTTTATTACTTTAAAATCCTTGGGTTTTTAAAGTTAGTAAAGAATAATTAATTATTTTGATTTATTTCTTTAAGGATCTAACTAAATATTATTATATAAGTATACAAAATATAAATATAAAATACATTCATCATATTTTTATGAATATATTTTTTTTAACTTATGTAATATACATGTGTATATATATGTGATTATATTGAAATGGATAAAAATATTATTATTTTTTTATTTTGTTTTATTAAAGCTTTAATCATTTAATTTTTAAGTTTATTATTGAATTAAGACGGCCAAAAACTTATTACTTTAAATATACATATATATATATATATATATATATATATATATATATATATATTGTATATACATATATATGAGTTATATTTTTCAAGATGATGAATTCTTAAATATACTTTTATTAAATAAAAATTTTTATCCATATACATATAAAATGAAAATCCTTTAATTCTATAATATTAAAATTTTGAAAAATTCTTACAAAATTATTTTAAAATTTTTGCTTGTGTATTTTGCAATTTTTTTTATGAAAATGCATTTTTAGTATATTTTGGGGTCAGGATTCAAAAAATTTTTTTTTTCATATTTTATGAATTTTATAATGGAATGAATTATGTGTTAATTATAGATTTTTAATAATTTTATATTTGTAGTGTTAAAGAACTTGGTGTTTGTGCATTAATGGATATGAAAATTTATTAAACTTCCATGTAATTAAATTTTTCTTGTAATTTTTTATAATATTTTATAATTTTATAAAATTCACTAAAATTATTTTACGGAAATTGGATTTTGAGAGTCTTAAACTCTTAATATTGATCATTAAAAGAATAGAGTATATGTGTATGCTAAGACGAAGTTATAATGCAAGAATATTTTTGATTTGTAGGAAAAGTATGATAAAGAAATTGTTATTTTCAATGATATTCTCAATTTTATAACAATAATTTTGTAATTTGCCGATTTTCATTGAAAAAATATGTATTGAGTATTTTAAATTCTATTCTTTTCTGTGTACAACTTCAAAGAGAGAGAAAAATAATTTACAGGAAAGAGACTATATAAAATGAAATAGAAAAGTTTCAGAACCTCTGTCTATAGTACTTATCAAATAGCCAATCACTATAATAGTGGTCAAATAGCAAAATTTTGTTGTTTCGAGTAGTAATTTTACTGCATTTACCTGTTCGGCTGAATAAACATAAATTGAATGTTCGTTTGAAATAATTATGAAGTTTTTATAAAAAGTGTTTTTAAATAACGATTATTTAAGTATCTAGACTCAAAAATATTTGTTGGAAAATTATTGGATTACACGTTTTATGAACCAATTGAAAAAGTTCAAATTACACACGGTTCATTTTAATGTATTGTGAAACTTGTTTGGCCGTAAACATAGTATTCGTAGACTAACATAGATTTTATTCTATGAACTATAAACTAACATAGATTTTATTCTATGACATTTTATGTATGAATGAAATCTATATAGAATGTAATAGAATGAAAACTATTTAATTTCTAGATTCTAATTAAACAATTTCCTTTAAAATGAAATTGAAACATACACATGCAGTTACACCAATAGAATATTCACGATTATTATTACATATTAATAAATATTTTCGGAAATTCATATCAAAAATTCATATTGTAAATCTTGATTCTTGTTAACTGCGTATTGTTAATATTATTCACAATTATACAAAATATGACCACAAAAAAACCACTAAGATTTTATGAATAACAGCAAGATTTTAAGTAATGATAATAATTATTTAAAATAACAATTGTGTATGATGATAAGACATGTATATTTCATACATATACTTCATACATGACTTATCATACATTCATATTATCATTCATAATAACGTTATAATCGTATATCGTATAATATTATAATTACATATCGTGATAATTTGCTTCTATGTAAACAAATTAATGCTTCAATAAATTTATTTAATCAAAATTTGCGATATTGTTATAATTATGTAGAATGTACATACAAAACAACATAATATACATAATACACTTTGTATAACATATTTGTATTATATACTTTATGTTATGTGATATTTAACAATTCAAATATAATTTACATGTATGAAAAATAAAAACAAAAATAAATTAATTGAATTTATAAAATACAAACACAAAATTGACATAATGTTAAAGTTTTTATTAAAAATTTCTCATATACACAGAGAAATCGGGGGGAAAAAAAACTAAAACGGTATTTTAACCTTTATTACAACATTTTAAAGTCAGTAAGTTTCTAAGTTGTTTTCCGCTTTTTAGCTTCAGGAAATTTAAACTACTGCGTAGAATAACTTTTAAATAAAAGTTTAACAAAAAAAAAAAAGAAAGAGAAGCAAAATGAAAATTAAGAAGATTAAAATAAATTTTATTTTCTCTTTAATTTTTGTATTTCTTGTTATTCTTATAGTATAAACGCAAATCAATAGGTTTTTTGTCTTAATTTTTCTTTTTGTCTGATTTCCCAGGCTCATACAAACGCTCCGTACTTACATAAAGTTTGAAAATGTCATACACATAAATTTATATGTGTTTATTTTCCAATATATTTACTTTCTGTTACTGTTATACGTATACTTTAATAGTATATAACGTTATACTCTTGTTCTAAATCCACTTAGATTTTTAAATTCAATGAAGCATTAAGTAACTGAACTTTTTTTTTTCTGACTTCAATTGTATTTTTTTCTTTGCTTACATACATACATTATTTGAACTCATATACGTATACATATTAACACATACATATGTGTACATCATCAAACTTAATGCATATTGAATTCATCAAGTATACTTAAGTACATTGTAAGCCAATTAAGACAAACTGGGAATTTTCAACGTTTTTTTCTTGTGTTCTTATTTTTATTTTGAATTTAATGACAATTGGGACATGAGAAGAGCAAAAAAAAAAATTTAAAAACAGTTACAGATTTTAAGCAAAAAAATAAACTTCCTTATTTGCATACAACCATAAATAATGTATATATGCATGTGTATGTATGAATGTGTGGGTAAGAAAAACACAATGATTTTGTAATCCATGTATAATTCTCGAATTTTACTATTACAATAAAGAATAAGTAGCTATTATAGAAATAAGTGTTGCCGTTTTACATGTTATATGTTATATTAATGTTGTGTGGTCAGTTTGTTTTGAGTATGTTTTGAATATGGCAGTGAGAGTTATAAATAAAATTAATTTAAAAATTTATTAAAAATATTCGTAAGTAATGAAATTTTTTGATTGAAATATAAAATTTCGCCTAAAAGAATGCAATTTTTTGAAAACTAAATTTTTGAAATAATTATGTAAAAATTAAAGCCTAGCCGAGTGGGCGCAAATATTGAATAACATGTAGTTACGTTATAGATTTTATAAATTTTTAAGCCTCCATGGAATCAAATGAGGAATTGTAATTGAAAACAATAATAAACACATTTAATTTGGTTGAATAGTGTTCTGTTAAGCTCTCACATGGTTATAATAGCACAAATTATAAATATTGAAATTTTGCCTAAAAGTATGCAATTTTTCAAAATTAAAGTTTTGGAATGATTTTTGAATTAAATTTTGTTGGGCATTTTTAGAGGAAATTTTCAATTTCATTAACTAATAGTAAAAATGATTTGAATACCACAATACACATTTTATTAATTTTCAAGTGTACACTGTAAATAATTTAAATTGTGGTCAAAAATAACATTAAATATCTTGGATATTATTAAGTTCTTTAGAGTTCTAAATCACTATTAAAAACATATAGATTACAAATTAATTAAAAAAAAAGAGAAAACAATATAGAGGGCATTGTTCTTTAAGCTGTGATTTCAAATTCAAATGGGTTTATCAAAAAAAAAAAAAATCTTAATTAATTCTGTTTGCAATTTAAACTGATTAAAAGTGATTATGTTAGGAAGAGGAGGAATGAAAGAATACTTTTACTATAAATAATAATCTGAAACTTGTAATCCTATACTATATTTTCGTACAGTACACTTTAACAGCAAAAGATTTATTATTTATTTAATCAAGGCGTTTTTATTACATGCATATAGGGAAGAGGGTGTGATAGGGGTGTGTTTGCGTTTGTATGTATTATAATAAATGACATTTTAAATTCATTTAAAATATTTGAATGAAATTTAATGAGTTCAATTTTATTGGATCAACTTAAAAATAAGAAAAAGAGAACAAGCAAGTTAATAATAATAACATGAGTTTTTATATACAAGTTCTGTGTGAGTACACAAAATGTTAATGCATGAGTATTTAACTAAGTGTGTATGTAACCAAGTATATAACAATAATAATAATTTTTGTGATATTATCAATTATGACATTTTAATGTGTTTCTGAAAAATTAATTTTGAAAAAGTTTTGCCTTCATTTTTGATTCACAAAATAGAGAAATTTTGTGGCTCAATTTCCTTGAAGAGGATGGGAAAATTCTGAAAATTGAATAAAAAAGGAGCAAGTATTTTGGTATAGAATAAATTTTTTGTGTTTTTTTTTTAAGGAGCCTTTATTAAATAAAGGGATTTCTTTATACACAAATCTTAAAAAAGATGAAGAAAAGTCAATTTTTAAATTTATCATTTGAATTTTTTTTTTGCTTTAAGATCTTTAAATTTCTATATTAAGAAAATTTCAATATTTAAAATTAGAACTTTTAAAAAAATTTTCAATTTTAGAAATGAAAAACATAGAGAAATTTCTTTAATTTATTAATAATTTACTTTAATATTAAAGAAACGTGAGCAAAAAATTCATCTATGTAAGCAGTTTTTGTTGATTACAATTCAGATTTAGAGAAGTGTAAAAGATATTGTTAGGGTGTTGATGATTTTCTCTTTCAATCAAATAGGGTGCTGATTTAGTAATGAGACTTAATAAGGTTTTAGACACAAATCTGGGAGGCAATATCATTGTTCAAATAAAATAAAATTGATTTTGGTTCTGGTTAATGATTTTTACCACCTCTTTACTTTGCAAATAAATACAAGCTGAATATTTGTTTGAAGACGAAGGGAACAGAGTAGAATTGACGTCGATTACATCTACTCCAATTAAATTAATAAAAATTGAAAATTTTGCTCTTATTTGACAAAAATTTAAAATCAGAATTTAATTTTCATTGATTTTTACTTTTGTTTTAAAAAAATTCAATTTTTTCTCAATTTTTAATTCGTAATTTTTCCAAAAACCTCATAAAACTTTTTTTATACTTGTTAATAGAAAATTTTCGTCTATAATTTTACAAAATTTTCGATCTTTCTATATTTAAAATAAAAAAATTTAATTGTTCAATTTTAAGAAACCAAAAATTTCCCTTTAAATTCTATTAAAATTTTTCATTTTCAATAACCATAATCTTTAAAGAACAAAAAGGATCTTAAAACTACTACATACACATAATATAATAATAATTATTATTGTATTGTTTAATTTTATAATTCTTGAAAATTTTCTCCAAAAATAATTGTAATCAAAAGTAACATAACATTAATATAATTTTCAAATTATAGAAAATTTTATAATCAAATGTTAACAAATAATCACATACAGAAATTTTGTGGTTTCTATTATATTTGAATTTCTCATATAAAATACGAGTATGTAATTAAAGTTTTTTTTTTATTCCAAAATATTTTAGATTATGTATAAGGACTAAATTAAAATTGTAAGGCTGTTAGAATTACAAGGAATGAAAACTATTAAAAAATATTTTGTAAATGAAATGTTAATTGAAAATTTAAGGGATTTAATTTTATATATAAAGAGGTTTAAGAGGATTTAACATTTAATTGTTAAGATTTACTTCCAACAGGTTAAGTGTACAAGTGGTTCCGTCGAATGGACTTGGAATAATGTTGAAAATTATAAGTTGAGAAAAGAAAATACTTCGAATTTTCAAAGATGTTCAATTAATTTACTTTATTCTCTTATTCTATGTGATTGCATACATTTAGGAGGGTTACATTTAGGATGAAGTATTAATCAAATCAGACGGCATTCCGGACATTAGTTAAAATATTTAATTACATCTTTTGATATAAAAAAGATATTGGTTTGCAAAATTTGAAATTTTGTAGGTTTTATTGAAAAATTGAAGGGTTACTAAAGATGTTGGCGACACAATGTTTTCAGTTCGGACGGAATAAGTAGTTAAAATCGGTCATTTTTAGAACTTTCAGTGACTACAGCCTCTGTATGAGGAAATCGATAAAAATTTGCTTTTAGAGAACTATGTTTCTCAGACACATCCTAAAATTTACATTCAAATTTCTAGCGTTTCCTTTCAAAATGTGTAAAAATTTTGTAGACCGAGGTACAAAATTTAATTTTCCAAAGTTACAAAAGAATACTTCAACTTTGTCTCTGGAAAACTACAATTCCAAAACATTTTTAGTGTTTAATAAACTGAGACATCTTATACGAATTACTTATTGTTACATAAACCTTAAATATATACGATAAATATAGTAATTTTCATCTATATACAATACAATATTCAAAGATAATACCAAAAATTTTAAAAAACAAAAAAACACAATATTAAATTTAATATAAATACCTTCTTCATCACTTCCAACCATTGAATAACGTTCAAATCCGCTTAAATTACGATGTTCACCTAAACCAAAATCATCTTTAGTCCATTGTAATGAACCAACTTTATTAATAACACGACATGGTAATGTTGCTCTTGATCCAACAATTGCGGTTTGATCTTGTGGTTCCATTGCAAAATGTTGACCAATTTCACCATTTTGATAATGATAATTACTATTACTATTATTATTATTATTATTATTAAGATTTCCACTTGTATTACTACCACCTTTATTATCTAATAATGGTTCAGTTTCAACTATTTGAAATAATAATAAAACTATTGGAAAATATGTTAATTTGTGTGTTAAACGACGTCGACGATATTGCCAGATGTTTTTTATTTGATAATTTCTTGTCAGCAACATTTTAATATTTTTATTATAAAAATTTTTACAATGTAGTTTTTTTTTTCTATTTCTCTTCTCTTTTCTGTTTTGTAAATTTCACTTGTTTGTTAAATGCTTACTCAGTTTTGTTGGTTAAAAAATTGTTGCTAGTATTTTTTTACTCAATGTTGATACTATTGTGACGTTGAATTTTTTATTGTTATAACAGTCACTTAATAGAGATTTTAAAATGAAAATTGAATATTTTTACTGTTATACTGTTTGAAAAAATTGTTTTTTTTTTGTTTTTACGAATTTTATTATAAAGATGGTGGTGGTAATATTGCCCTTCTATATATGAATATTTATATTGAATATACTTGTTGGTGAACATATATATGATATTATAATATTATTTGACAATATTGATAATGATTATATAATAATGATGACAATGTTGACATTTATATTGACATTTGTATATATATGTTAATTTTTCAACTTTTCATTGACAATATTTCAATATGATTTTGTTTGGTATTGCTGAAATATGGAAAAGGTGGAAAATAAAAACGGGTTTTCACTTCTGTTTTTTTTAAGGATCCAAGGAATTTATGAATAGGTGGGGTAAAACACAACTTATATTATCGAAATTCTTTTTGTGTCTGTGCTCCTAGATGATCCTTGTACGAATTTTGTTGAATTCTTTTAAATTATTTTACAATATTTTGTTGAAATTCTGAATTGAAAATGGTTTTTTGATGAATTGCAATATTTTTATAGTTTTAATGTTCAAGAAATTGTTTTAATAAAATATTTGTAAATCCAAGTACTAAAGTTTTTAACATGAAGAATGAAAATTTTTAAATTGACAACAAATATACAATCCTTGTTACTTTTGAAGAATGACGAATAAAATATAGGTTGGGTTTTTTTTTTTAATTTTTAATTTGTAATTTCTTTAATTTTGCTTACGATATGCTTTTGATATGTAGGAGTGTGTATGATTGTATGTTAAACTTTCAACAACCTCGAAATATTTCTGCAGATGATATGAAAATTTATTGTTGTTTTGATTATTCTTAATCTTTTGTTTTTCTGCCAGTAGATTGCGCTTGACGTCGAGATGATTCGCTCAATGTTTTGATTTTTTTTATAAAACAAATAATTTTTTTTTTTGATTCAAAAACTTTTTTCTTTAATTTTAAATTTTTTTTGTTGATTTTTCATTTACTGTCAATATTAATAACTATATAAAGAATAGGGTATTTTGTTAGTTTGTCAGCTCCCAAATTAAATATAAATTTTTTTTTTTCAATAATTTTTTTTTTTCTGTGTATAATTTTCGTATTGTGTTGTGTTATTCTTGTTATTTCTGTGATTTCATTCAAAAAGAATTTTTGAATTTTTCAAATGTCTCTTTTTTTTTATTGTTAAAAATATGAAAAAAATAATATTTCTTTTTTCGTTCATTTTATGTTTCTTTTTTGCATTTTTCCTTTTTTTTTTCGAGTCTTTATTTTTTCCAGTTTATTTGTTATATTCTGATGGGAGGTTATGTGCGAAATCTTACAATTTTTTATACATTTTCCATTCGGTTCGCGTATATTCTGCTCTCGTTATATTTGTATGTTTGTAAAGAATGTGTTATTTTACTGCTCAATTTGCGAATTGTGTTTTTCTTGTACATTTACAAATTTTGTATAGAATTTTTTTTACGGTTTTTTTGTTTTTCTGTTGCTCGTTTCAAATATTTTGATAATGATGCTGTTGAATCATTTCAAATAAACTGTAAATGTGCATCGATTCGATATTGATTATTTTTTTTTTTAATATGGTTGAATTCATCGTCATCAGTCTGAAAAAAAAGGGAAGAGAAATGTTAAAGAATTATTAAAAACAGAGAAAAAAAATAAGAGAAAAAAATAAAAAATTATTAGAGATTTTTTTTTGTTAAATTTTTTTACAGTGTAAATTTTTTTTTTTGCATTTTTTGTCGCAAGGTCTTTGTTTGAATTTAAATTAAAGAGGTGTTGAGTGTTATTTGAGATTCTCTTTAATTTTTTTTCCTCTCTATGTTATTTAAGAAATAAAATTTTTTTTTTTTTTTTTTTTTTGTAAATTATTTCTGTTAAGTGATAATAAAAATAAGATTTTTATAGCTTTCAAATAGATTTTTGATATTGGACTGAGTTGTTATTTTCTTGCTTTAAAAAAAAAAACAAATAATGGCTATAAATGTGAAATGGGTCAATATTTTATTAATTTTTATATTGTAATTTAAAATGGAAAAATTGTGTCGAAATCTACTGTAAATATTTTAAGTGTAAAGAATTTTTTATAACTTTATTGAATTTTTATTTATTTATTTTTTTTTTTTGTTTTCTGTGTTAAAACGGAAATTAAAATTTATTTATATTTTATTGAAATTTTCATAATTTTATATAATTCGCAGTAATGTGCTTGTATTTCTTGAGTATGTGCGGGGCGGGTTTTACCTAAATGTGATATTAATTACGATATAATTCATTGAGGTCTAATATTTAATTTTAAATTTTAATAATTTAAAATCTGTGGCGAAATTTCGAATTAATACTAAAAATATATTATAAAGGAATAGGAAAACTGAAATAGAATCAGAAACTTGCAATATGTTATTATTTACAATATTAAATTCATATTTATTAATAAGACCATTATGGAATTAAGAATATGTCACTATCTATCTTTCCAATTAATAAAAATGCTCTTTAATATTTTAATTTTAATAAAAACGATATTTTATTTATATTATTTAGGAAACCAAATACGTATCAGTATAACCATATTAAGTGAAAAAATTGCATACTTTTAGGAGAAGTGCAAATATTTAAAGGCAATAATATTTATTAAAAATGATTATAATGGTTAGGAAGGGATATTTTACGTAATTTAAAATGTGTTTCCACTGTAAAATAAAAAAAGGTTCTTTCATTACAAACTTTCTTGTGATAGTGAAATTCTTGATCAATAAATGAAATTCTTTATATATAATTACTGAAAGCAGAGGAACTTTTTGATATTTCTTATATTCATTTGAGTATATTCTCGAATATTGGGCTTATGATAATATTGTTGCATATCGTAAATTTCAATTCTTAATATGTTTCGATACTTGTCGCTCCAATCTACTTGAAATTATGCACAGGAAAATAATCCTATCAAATCTATTGGTCTATCACTCATATTTCAATTTCGTATCCACCTTACTATTAAATGTTTCCTTATTGGAATGAAATTTTTAAAATTAATTCTGAATCTACTGTACTTTTAATTTTCAGATGTAATATTCTTAGTATAATGAAACATTTATTATTAGACAACTTAACAGAAAATTTCAATTGCATTTCAAGTGAGCAAATTATCAATATAAAGGCAATTCATTTGCAAAAATTATAAAATTGTGTTCTTAAATGTTATTATTTTATCTACTTAACAATTATAAATCTGGTCAAATATAAAATTAATTTAGATAATATAATTTTTGAAATTCTAAAAACACCACACAATAATGGAGAAAATATTTTCAAATTATTTTCACAATAAAAAACAATTAAATTCTTAATTAATATATTGTTGTGCTCAGTTCAATTAAGTATTAATTATATTATTTGTTTTAATCTATTATCTATAATATTATTGTCATTTAAATTAATTTGTGAAAGAAATTTCTGATTTTATTGTATGTTTTTATTCATTTTTTTTTTAATTTAATTTTAATATTTTAAAATAATTTTAAGTATAGAGTATTTTAGATATTTAGATATTTTAATTATTTGTTATTTAGATAATTAAATTTAATTATGTGAATTTCATTTAATTTGCAACTCTTGAAAGTACCATTTTCCCCAGAAATATAGTGTTTATTCTATGGATGACTAATATGTCTAATAATAAATTCAATTATTAAATTAAAATTTGAATTGAGGCTTCAAATATTAAAGCAATAATATTTTTATAATGTAACTCTACATACTATTATGTAGCTATTCCCTCAAAAAATTGGAATGAAAGAAATATTACATTTTTATTGCATACTTATAGGGGAATTTTTTATTGCATACTTTTGGGAGGAAATTGAGAAAAATCTTATAAATGATGGAAATCATACAATTAATGAATTCGCCTAAGGTTTGCCATTCAATTACCGAGCAGAAAGCTATTTATCGTTGATTCTCTGCGGTTAAATTGATAAAACTTCTAGAAAACCAAATAGAGGCTTCTTTTTAATTTTCAATCAGCGTGGGGAGCTGGGGAAACATTTCCTTTGTTGAAACAATTAATTTTCTGACAAACTTGAGGCGAAAATTTTGAAAAGTAATAAGAAGGCAAATAAAATAGACCCTTTATGGTATTTCCGAAGCCCCGGAGAAGCCACAATTTTTTCATTACGAGTATTTTTACATACGCAAAATTCTATTTCATTTACCGTATTAGTTTACTAAATTGCATTTAATATTGTGTGAAAAAATATATATTTTAGTACTTTTGTCTGAAGTACTGCTACATTTAAAAAATTAAATAGAAAATTTAAAGCTCAATAGGCTACACAATTTATGTATAGCAAAAAAAAATTACCATAATTTTTGTTTATCATAACTAGTAATATTAACCTAATTTTCAAATTTAATTTAATAATATAAAAAAGAAAAATAAATATCTAGTAAATTGAAAAATTTTATCCACCCTATAAAAACAACAAATTTATTTTTTTAAATTCTCACTTCACAAATTTAAATGTGATTAAATGCTTTGACACCTCTTTAATTAACACTTATAAAAATAATATTTTTTGTTTTTAGCACTTTTCCAAAAAAATTTTTGAAAAAAGTGCTTATTAGTTTCACTCTGTCCGCCCGTCCGTCCGTCCGTCCGTGGACACTTTTTTTGTTTACAAAACTTCTACACCCTTGAAGATAGAAAGCTGAAATTTCATACGTACATAGACCTTCACTAGAAACTTATTTCCGTAGAACAAAATTTTTACCTATCTCCCCCCGTTTAGAAATTATACCCCCCCAAAACCCTAAAAATGGCCTTTTTTAAATATTTGTTGCAATGAAACCATAAGCATTTTTGAAATTTTTCAAACGCAGAAAGGCAGCGGCTTGCTTCCCCTAGAGCGGTATACTATAGTTAAACTTTAGAAAAACAAAATGGCCGTTCAAATTTACCGTTATCTACAGTTATTTTTTTCCAAATTTTTGATGTCGTTTTTCTTCTAGACCTCAGTCTGCAGAAGCTTGAAATTTTAGGGGCTTTTAGACATTAGCAAACAGTTCATTTCGTTGGAAGAAAATTTTTTTCCATCTCCACCCCCTCTCAAGTTATCGCCTCTTGAAATTCGTAAAATTTGAATTTTTGACACCTCATATTTCCGAAACCGCAAGTTTTTTCAAATTTTTATAAACGCAAAAAGCTAACGGTAAATTCCATGAAATTAAAAAATATAATTATTTTTCTTAACTCACATAATTAACCCTTAAAATCGAGCATTATGTTAACCCCTTTTTATATTAATTTTTGATTTATTTCAAAGACTGCATATACTCGTATGCGTCATCCTAAATATAGGCAATCCTAGAAATAGTTAAATATGAATGAAAATAGTTTTAATAGTGTGATAGGTACACATAGACTGTATTTAAAAGCAGAATTTTTACTTGTTGAAGGGAAAAGTGCTACAATACAAACCATTGGTTTGACCCAACTTTATTTAATTTTACTTTTACTTTTACGTTACAATCCATTAAACACTTAAGGCGTTTTTAATTTTAAAAATCTTTCAAAATTATTAGGTCAAAAATGTCATTAAAAGGAGTTGAAAATAAGTGAAAACAAGAAAAAAATTTTTACTCTACATTTTCATTTGATTTTCTATAGGTATAAAATTCTAGATTTTCTAATTAGTCTCCAGTGTTTATAAATCCTTTTCAAATGTGTATATGTAATGTGCATGTATATGTGCTTATATAATTGTATTTATTACTTAATATATTAATAATTATATGTACTTATCTGTTTTAGTAAATCACTCATTTATAATTTTGAAAATATTTAATGGAAATTGAAAAAGAAATATGAAAATTTTTTTTTTAATTCCGCTAAAAAATTTTCCATATACAAAATCTACGTTTTATTGATGTGCAGCTTTACAATATTAAAAATAATATAATGTGAGATTGAAAAGTGTTATACAAGATTACTTGGTTTTTAAAAATGTACGGATAATTTAAGAGCGTTTTTACTGACTGCAATGTATATAATAAGGAAGTAGTATTAGGATTCCAATTGAAATTCTATTTCTCTATTTCAGATAAACGTTCATAAATAAAATATTATCAGCCGAATGTCAGTCTATGTGCTCTACTGCATCTTAATTTAATTTGAACCGATTTAAATATGAACCGGTTGGCGATTGGATTATCTAATATAAGTATAAATGCTACAATTTTAAAATTAATTGAATTTTTAAAATCATCGTGCAATAAAATAATTAAAATTATAATTTTCAATTACTTTGTCAAATATTTTCGTTGGAATTTTGATATTACAATGAAAATCAGTAAGGGTAGTGTTTGACATCATATCAAACATTGTTCATGCATTTTGTTTGATCTGATGAAAACTATACCGAAAGATGTATGTGTAAGCATTCGTAGATGTTTTTGAGTCTATGGATTTTTGGTAAATCCACGGTAAGTTTTTCGTAAGATTTATTCGTGGATATTTGGTAAAAATAAAAAGCTATCCAATTCTTATCAAACAAACTCCTAATATGGTTTTAAAATCATTTCGAGAGATTCCGGACTTTACTTT